AAAATTTCAAAAAAAAAAAAAAAAAACTAAAATAAACGGTGAAAAAAACAATTCTGTAGAAAAAAAGGCATTTTTTTGGTAACTCAAACTTAACTCCATCTTAACTCAAACTCAATTCTAACTCAACTCAAGCTCGCAACTCGATAAATAGCCGATCCCGCATGAGACAACAAGCGTGAAATATTAAAATTAGTAATTCAAACGAAGTTATTATGCCCCGTGAAAGGTAATCGGGATTCCGAAATGCGGGAACGAGTTGCCTGTGGAATCCGGAATCTGGGAAAATTTTCCTTGTAGAATCCGGAATCCTGGGCTTTGGACTCCGGAAAACAAGCACTTTTTACTTAGTGTGGCTTCATTGTGAGAAAATGATGAAGGAAAATACAGTGTCAGATTGAAGGTGACGACCGATTGTGGACCAGTAATGCGTTCCGATGTTCGTTTGTTTCAGTATAAAGTGATACAGTCGAACCTCCACAAATAACCACCTCTCCACAACGGGCATTTTTTTCTTGTCTTGTCCCGGCGGGCAGTCCATACATTAGAGACCTTAAGATCGAGGTTTGGCCATCTTACCGCAAACGGCAAACGACGGTTTGCAGTCAGCAGTTGCACGTTACCTGCCGTCTGCCCATATTTGGGACTTAGGATTCGAGGGTGGTAGCTGCGTTTGCCATGTTTAATTTGTTTTCATTCGCTTTTTTGGCTTCTAGTTTAGCTGAAATATTCTCTTCAAATTACGTTTCGTTAAAAAGAGAATTCCATAATTCCATTTTTCTTTGAATAAGCAAAAGAGTTCTGAAAAGTAGTATATCCTCGTAAACGTGGGATTGTGATGTCTTAGAGTGCAATAAAACCTTGCGGTAAATCACTTTATTTAAGAGCGTGGTCGAGCCTTACAAACGTTAACTTCAAACCGCAAACCTGGCGACAAGGCACTAGTCACGTGACTTCCTGGCGTTCACGGGACCGTTTGCGGGAAATGGTAAAAAACCTCGATCGTAAAGTCTCTAACTGACTCCTTTTTAAACCTTTCTACAACGGCGCCCTCTCTACAACGGCAACGGCCACTAAAGCATGTCCCCAACTGCCAAAATGACCTCTCGACAACGGCCAGTTTTTTTCAGCGACTGATGAAAAAGTCATTTCATCCCTACAGCGCGTCAGAGATTAATCGCAGCAGTCGGATTTTGATTGTACTCCATTTATACTGCTGCAGTAAGCATAAATTGCCCACAATACTTGTAGCGAATGCTGCGAACCTTGCTCGTTTTGTCACGCCCAGACATTTTGATTCAAGAGAAATTGACGTTTCGAGGTATTTCATCTCTATGTATTATTAGGAGCCTATGGATTCCTAGTATTTTACATGATTGGATTACCATTATAGTGGGATAAAGCAAGCATCAACTTAGCAGAATAAACATGTTGTACTCCCTAAAAAACAAATCTACCATATTACAATTCTACCTCCCCATAAGGGCCACCTTTCCACAGCGGCCACTTTCTTCTGTCCCTAAGGTGGCCGTTGTGAAGAGGTTCGACTGTATTTCTGCTAAAGATTTATGCTAATTTATGCAACGTTATTGTATATAAACCAGAAATGCGACATTTTGATGATCAATTTTGGTGGTGCTTTTGGCCCCACCGTTAAAGGTAGGGATATTAGGTCGGAGTTGAAGGGAGTGGCCGCGTCCGATTTCAGAGAGAGATAGTAGAATTTATCACTTCATCTTTACCTTTGACGACCTGAAAAGTCGTGCCGACGTTTTTAAAAAAAACGTATCCAGTATAGTATGAATAGGTACGGGACAGATGGTCACTTTTAATAATGCAATGCCTCAGCCAAATTAAAGGCAATTGGCACCGGGTTGATGTAACATAAATCCGACCCCGTCAAGGCGGGTTACCCCAAATTGAAGTGCTTCCATGGGAAAATTTTACCCTGCTGAAAGTATGCAGAGTTACACGGTCTGCATGACAGACCGGGCAACCTGCCTCGACGGTCACCTTACCTATCATGTAAACAAGATCAAGTTAAAATGCGAGATTATGTTGACAGGCGTGTTACCTCACCTACCTGAGGTCCTCTACTTCTATGTAAACGGGCCCTAAACCTTTATTGGTGCTTGTAGAAGTATTTATCAAGCTCTTGATCCAGAGCGTCTTAGTGATGAGTCTCGTGGAAGACGAGAGATATTTGGCTGCTCTATTTGACGGTTCGCGAATAGATGGCCATCTAGACCGGGCGCGAAGATATCGATCAAATCCTCCTTCATGGAGATAGATAGTGTTTTCTGTGCATTCAACAAAAGTGATGCGCCACGGAGTAAACTTCCGACTCTAGCTTGCTGGTCTGGAAGAAAAGTGGGAAAGGTACGAAGCAAACCAGCTTTGCGTGAGTAGCCTGCAAAGCAGGCGCATTTTGGAACGCGATCCATGGTTTGTTTTCGGGAATGACGTTGCCCCGCCATCTTGGACGTTAATGCTACCAAAGAGTTGGGACGAGTCAAAAACTGATTTTAAGGGAGAGGTTGATGGGTTTAAAATAGAGGAGGTGGAGGGTTCTCCCTTAGTCTTTCCCTTGGCTATTCAAGACTCGGGCGGCCGCGATCAATGTACTCCAGGGCGGTTAAAGGTTGGGCGGTGAAACGAGCGCGTCCGAGCAAAAAGGTGTGATGCAGTGGACTGGGACTCTACTTATTAGAAATGTCGCTTGTTTTCGACTTCGATCAGGGCTTGCGATGTGGTTTGTCTATTAGACACTGCCGCTGTCACTGAATTATGGCGGCTTGATTTGTTTTCTTGCACTTCTTCTTCGTTCCTTTGTGCTGGTACGCTGTCTCCGAGGGGCAAATGTTGCTATTTTTTGCGGGAGGTTTAATTGGAGTAGACAAACATCTCTTTCAAAGGGTTTCTCTGATTACTTCCATGACTCTACCACTGAATTATATTTTCGTTCTACTACTCCTAACTCGCCAATGTCGATGTTATTCCAAAACAAAAACAACTAAGTATTGTCTAAAACACGAAGGAAAATGTTATCCATGGAAAAACTAAAAGACAGAAGATCATGTGTTTCATAAATAGTATAGATGACTTGCATGTTATAAATGCGTGCAGCTCGTGCAAGGTGAAATTATGCTGATTTCAATCACCATCATCCTTCTTTTTAATTTTGAAAAAAAAAACGTCTCATACGTCTTTCTGTTTCTTCGAAACTTCAAAATTAGTTTCCCCTCAGGTTTTACTGTTTACCTTGTTTTGTTTTAGGGAGAAAAACGGAGAAAAAACTTTACAACTAACCTCAATAAATTTTGTTTACATGCGGTTGCCGGATTTGCGACGCGTTGCGCGAATCGCCATGGCGCATTGCACCCGAGAAGCAAAGTTTGAAGCAGTACAACGCCACTATATCAAAATATATCAATCTAATTTTTTATGTTACATAAAATTTATCCCTCTTTAACATATGTAAAAATTGAGGTTACGAAGTGTTAAGCTTTTGCAAACGAAACGGCGAAAGACGATTAGGTGATATTTAGTGGAAGGTGGAGGTATTCAACACTCAAATTTCAAAAACTCAAATTTTGGCATTATACGACCAACAAGTTTGACTTATAGGCATACAGACACAAACATATGAAACTTTTTATTGATATTGTTATGAAACGAATTTATCTATTTAACACTGTAGCCTGAAATTACAAAAAGAAAATAGGATTTCCGGTTTGCAAAAAGGAAAATTTCGCCGGTCTTCAAGCGCACCGGAAGGGCGGAAAGAGGGCTCGTGCCAGTCCTACTCTGCATCACAAATTAAATGAAGAGCGGAGCGCTCGTTTCACCGCCCAACATTTATCCGCCCTGATGTACTCAGTCTGAGTTTCCGTTAAAAAACGCCTGCTCTGCAGGCTATACAAAACTGGCGGAGAAAGGGTTAAATTCAATATGTATGTTTGATGCATGCTGATCGCGTATTGTAGGAATGTACACTTTTATTGGTTTTAAATAGTTTATTTAATAATGAAATAAATGTAAATGTAATATATTTTCACAGTTATAGGTGGAAACGATTCTGCAGTTGATTCTGTTGATTCAACCCTTCCTGCTTTATTTTGTCAATCATGTTGTTCTTATGCTAAGTATTATTTATTTAAGCATAATTTCCACTTGAAAAGGAAGGAGGTTAACGTTTGCATAAAAAAAGATCAACCTCAGCCTCACGTTTACTCAAAGGCTTAAATTTAAGCCAACAGCTGTAAGATAGTCTATATATTTCGTAAGTAGAATATTCGTGAGAAAACAGAGAAATTAAGCAAACGGCAAACGTCAGATTCAAGTTGAGAATTTCTCAAAATGGAAAATGAGCAGATAAAAACAGCTCAAAACAATTCTTAAGGACAAAAAGTTGCGTGAAACTACTTATTTATGTGTAGAAGTAATGAACAGTAAACGACGACAAGTAAAGGAGAAACTTGGTCGCGTGGTACAAATTCGCGTTTGCCGTTTGATGTAAACGTGATGCTTAACCTCTCTAACAGCTTATCAAAGAGAAGAACAGCCATTTAGAGCAGGAGGGTACGAATTTAAATGAGTTCAGTCTAGAGATCCGAGAGAACGCTTTTTCCCTTAATTTAATACTGAATCATGGCATCTAGAATTGTGTTCCTGTGCGTATGTAAACTATCTAATGGCATGTCATCAATACATTTACACTCGATCAGTCGTAAAAACAAATCAGTTAGGCTCCCCTCCATCCCCTTTGCCGGGAAAGAGAGGTCCTTCAAAACAGCCGTCATCATCTTGTTTTCCTCTAAAAATGCAGAAAATACTTAGAAACTAAAGCTTTTGCCATGATAAAAGTTTTGAGTATCTTAAAATTTACTTGACATGTGCAAATTTGTTTGCAATACATTTTGCGTTTTTGTAGAAAAAAAGGAAAAAAACTCACAGTTTTGATAACAAGTTGGGTTGACTCTGTGTCTCCTGCGTTTGCCATCTAAAACAAAGTGAGGCCGCGACTTGCCTGAAAGAAAGCTCTTACTTTTCCGTTTAATTCTCGTCACGTAAAAAGTCACGACAAGCACATTCAATCATGGCGTAAATTAGTTTTAAAAGCGAAAAAAAGCTAACATGTGACCTTGAAGTTGCTGTTTGGATTTTTATAGGAGATCAATGACCTCCAAAATACAACTAACGTTGCGCATCTGGACAAAAACTAGTTTTCAAATCATGCCTTGGGTCACGCAAACTGGTAGAGCTACGATCCGATATCAAGAAATACAACCGAGTAAAGTGTCTGCTGAAAAACCTCCGCAAATTCGTCTGAAATGAGGCACATTTGATAAGATGAGGGTCTGGGCTCAAACGCTAACTCGCAAGATGTTCCGTTTGTCGTCACTGTGGCAATAGGTCCTTCAATCAAATCATAAGAGGTTATCAAACTCTTTCGTGTTTTGGCTGTTCTCCGACCCAATCTATACGAACAAATAATTTCGCGCCATCTATCTTCATGTTCGAATAAATTAAGTCTTCTAGAATTATCCAAAAGCCTGCTGTCGACATGATAAGCCAAAATGGCGGGCTTTGCTGTGGTGCTCTTTGCCCAGTCTAAAGCATCACCTAAATTTCTTGTCAAATAAAACCCTGATCCACAGCTGAAATCACGCTTCTGTCTTCCAGCACACAAATCTATTCCCCGGACTAATATGTCGGCCGCGCTGAGATGGTCTGTGCCATGAAAAAGCACCACGTCTTGTTGACCTTGTGACTGACTGTCGAACAATGTATGAGTGTCCCTGTACGCACGAGATTCCTTCGTCACGCAGTTCATTATATTGACGTGGCGAGGGCTTTCTTGACTTTTCCTATCCTCGTTTGTCATATTCGGGAATTGAAACCATAAATTCGTTATGTTACTTTGAAAGGGAAAGTTCACAGACAGGGCACTCCATGTAGGATTGTACTTCAACTCATCTCTGACAAAAATTTCTGCCCATTCGCACGCTTCAACGTGGTGTTGCGAATTTCCTGCGAATGCGCGCGCAATTATTGTTTCAACGGATTTACTATGTGGATCAAAACCGATTTCCTCAAGCAGCTCTTTGGTGAGAGATGATTTGGTTGTCGAGCAAACTGGCTCACACTTTGCTTTCAAGAAAGTAATTATCCAGTCAGTGAGTGTATAACGATCACGAAATTCGGGCGGTATTTCGTCGAGGCAGTCAAGGAAGTCGAGTTTTAATCCGAGCAGAACACATAGTTGTGACCAGTTTTGATTGTCCCAATGATCGGTACAGTCTCTTTCCAACATGTTAAGCTTTGAGTTTCGTGGTTTATTTCGCGTCATGAGGGTTCTGATTTTTCCGAAGTTCTTCTGAATCAGTAGTCAAAATAAAAGGCCCTTGTACTCGTTCTCTCATCCATGGTCACACTTGAATTGGATTGATTCTCGCCAATGTGTAAGGCACGTCTCGAAATATCCAAAAGATTGGTGCTACATGAATCTGAGAGAGAATTAAATGCGAGAAAATAAATTGTCTAACCAGCCATATTTGAATATAAAGAATCCCACAGAGCCACGTATTACTTATTTATTCTTGTCACCGGTTAGAGTATTTTGCCATGGAAACGGGATCGATATCAGTCACGTCAGCCAATGAACCGTACAAAAGAAAGGTGAAAAGGAGGGAAGGGAGAATTCGAAAATTTGTCTGAATCTTTGCTCGATGTGGTTTTTAAAATCATTCATTACTGTTTCGTCTGCCTGATGGAAAGTCTCTTCGCGTTAAAGTGGGTCGTATAGCCAATGCTAGAAAGTTTGTTAGATTACATCTTTTTATCCAGGTTGTTCCATGTAGCCTACGTTTAGCGCTGCGCTCTATCAAATATGGTCAATCTCATAAATCTCCCAAATGGTTTGCTTGAATTTCTCAGAATTAAGGGAGTTTCTGGGAATTTGTAGCGGTCAGCGTTATAAGGGCGATTCTGTGCGTTTCTTGCTAATCGTATGCCGAAGGCAATAGCGATGACTGAAAGGATGATGATCTCAAGCGCGATGGCAACCAATCTGAAATGTACTTGGATAAAAAGATTTGATGCTAGCGAAATTCAACGATGGTTTCAGACCCTGCAAGAAATGATTGAGTGGTTCTACACGCCGAAAATGGAGAATGTGGAGAATTTTCCTCGAGCCAGCCGATTATTCCTGCATCTTAAATCTCACTTCCTACATGTATTTGAACACCTTGGGAATGTTTTATTCAAGTGTAACCGTTTTCCGTACAAGGAGACAGTCACTAATGAGTGGTTCACTCTACCAGATGATAAGAACGATAGAAAACAGCCGGTAAAGGTAATAAATGTCGATAAAGCCGGTAAGGAAAGTATTACTAAATGCTACTTATCCCAAAATGGCGTCGATGATTTCATGAATTCACTTATTGATGGCAATCATGAAGTATTTTTCCATGGAACAGGACACCAATACGCTCAGGACATTATAGAAGGTGGCATCGACTTTAAAAAGGGGGCTGATTGCCAAGATTTCAGCAACGGGGACGGTTTCTATCTTGGTGAAGACTTTGAGGAAGCTTGCAGATGGCCAGCATCTCGTGGACACCTTAAAATTGCTGTCCTTGTCTTTTGTGTCGAGAAGAGGGAGCTGCGAGATCCATATAAAGGGTTGGATCTGAGGAATAACAAGAAGAGATGGTCAGAGTTGATCAAGCAATTTCACTCAGGACGGCCAGCTAAAAAATTTGTCAAAAGTTTGAGGGAGTACGACTTTATCGAAGGGCCTATGGCTTCTTGGTCTAGCAGGAATCTAAATGACGATGATCCGAGGCAGAGACATGGTACATATCAACTATGTGTTAAAGAAGACAGTTGTGCTGAGATATTTGATCGAAGCCTCCATTCTGTAATTTTCTTTGAACATTAGCCATAAAGAAGTTGTTTTCTTTGTTTGAGTACATGATAACACCTATAGCATTCTTCTAATTGTTATCAATACTAAAACGTATCGTAAACGTATGAATTTGTTTATTGCCATCATTTCTTTGAGGAGCAATACCTGGTGATCAAACTAAAACAACTTATGGCTATCGTTTACTATCGCTGTTGCATCGCGCCATAAAGCAATGTGTTTGTGCTCTATTAAAAACCATTTATCTCGAAAACAGGAAAATCAACGTAGGAGGAGTCTATAACATTTCTTGATTATTTGACGAGAAGGTAATTCATCAGTGCTGTCATTATTTTTCAATTTATCCTTTTGCAACATTTGTAGGAGCGGATTATTAATGTTGTACTGTGTTGTAACAAGAACTGACATTATCTCTGACTACCGACAAATACGACAAGTAACTGATATATCGGGTGAAGGTGAGTCTAACTAAAAATGTGCCAGAGGAGATTTCAGATCAGAAAGTGGAATAGTTCAACATTTAATAATGCAAGTGGAATAGGAACAGTTACTTTCTACCCTTCTGTTTCTTCATTTTGATGTCACTGACTTATTAGTACCCTTAGTAAGAAACTGATTACAATTTTATTAAAGCAAGGTTTTTCTTTTGAAATCTTAACACATCCCTCGACCTCTCTATGGTTTTTCTTGTAGATGTTCCATCCGTTTACTTGATGTTCAAATATCAGCACCACAGATTCCTGTCTCTGTTCAGCCAAGGTAGTGGATTTCTTGGCTTACAAAACTCTTAAAAAGTTTCCTTCCCAGTGGATTTTGAAAATGATTGTACAGATAACGCATACAATGCATAAGGGAATGCGCATTCTAAATGGCTCGGTTATTGATAGGGAATTTTAAAGGGACTTGGATAATTCTTTATAGAAAATAGTTGTTTTTAAATTTGTTTCTCTGAAACCAAAGAGAAGATAAGTTGTACTGAAAGATAATACACGGATTTAGCCAAGCCTAATAACGGAGCTGTTACATTCTAAACAATTCACTGTAGGCTTGTTTTTCTTTAAAACAGTATGACTTCACGAAGCGTGACCATCCTCCCCCTAAAAACTAAAGTATTCATGGGGATTATAGCGTCCAACACAGATGTCTTTTTAGCTTAACTATCACGAAAGAGAGACACGGGATGGGGCATTTCACATTACGAGGATATATTAATAAGCGATATTCACAGGGTAAATAAGGCTCTTTCTCAGTACCCCGAACAGGTGTCATGACAAGGGCTAACACGCACTTAAAGTGTGGGGACACCAAGGGTTGAACCTGAACATGTCAGCGACAACTACCGAGCAACTTTATGATGTAAGATGTAATTCAATTCATTTATTACTGAACTTACAATGCATTACAGCAAGCGAATTGTATAATGACAGAACGAAGGTTTGGAGTTTGGCTTGACATTTGATTTTATCTCATGCCAGCGAAATTTCTAAGTACTGTTTAAAAACGAGCAGCAGAGTATTATCAGGTTTGCCGAGAATTTTCAAACCTGATAATACACGACTGCGAGTTTTTTGAACGGCTTCAAAATCTCTCAAAGAGATCAACCCATTCTTTCACCAATATTTAGATTTAAGGTTTTTTTGGTCTAAAAAATTGGACGTAAAGTTTACCTGTGTCTTAATCAGATGTAAACAGACTCAATGACACTAAACATTCATTTGTTTTGTTTTTTCCTTATGAACTATTAATGAGTTTTTGAAGTCTTTATGAAAAGTTTCTGGTAATGATGAGCGACACATTATTAACCAAATCCTGTCTAATTTTGCACATTTTTACACTGGAAGTTTAAACTTTTAAAATCTAAGCATTTCTACTTTCATTTTTACACAAAACATTTTCGTAGAAAAAAAACTGCTATTGCATATTCCGCATTTGAAACTTGAAAAGAGGCATTTAGCTTCTAATGACAAGATTCAGCCCTAATATCAAAACTAATTATTATATGTTAGTGCCCCTAAACATGGAAGTGGTGGCGAGATGTTTAAAGAATACATTAAATTTATTATTGTGATACTGTTCTTCATACTAAATTTTAAACATTGATAAAGCATTTGATGCTCTCTTCTCTTAAGGTTTAAAGGTTTTATAACATTGAAGTTTTCAAAAACTTATTCAAGCAAGTTCAGCCAATTTTAAAATTTCAAAACAAACACTCTCTACGAAAAGTATTATAATTTTCCTTTTGTAAGCCTTCACTGAATTATCATAATGTTCCTAGGCATACAGTTAAGAAAAGTAGTAGAATATTATAGAATGAAGATTTTGGTGGAAATTTTCTGCAAAGTCTTCCGATATAAGGCATATCTGATAGGACGAGGCTTTTGCCTCAAATATGTCCTCTTCAGAGGATTCACCGGCTGTTAATGTAGCCACAGGACCTTCGATCAAGTCAAATGTACTCAAACTCTTCCGCATTTTTGCCGTTCGTCGACCCGATCGAAATGACGACACGATTTCACTCCATCTTTCCTCATTATTGTCCAAATTTTCTCTGCTGGCAGCGTTTAGAATTTGGTGATTTACTTGGAAAACAAGAATGGCTGCATTGGCAGTGGTGCTTTTGGCCCAGCCTAACGCACTATCCAAACTGTTTGTTAAATAAAAGCCTGATCCACAGCTGAAATCGCGCTTTTGCCGTCCCGCGCACAAATCTATTCCTCGAAGCAATATGTCGACCGCGCTGAAGTGATCCGTAGCGTGGTAAAGCAGAACGTGATCTTCGTCTCGAGGCAGAAAGCCATTAAGAATAGCTTGAGTGGTATTACCCACATTGGATTCCTCTGTCACGAGGTTCATGATGTTAACTTGGCACGGATCTATGTCACATTCACTTTCTTCATCTGCTCTGCTCGGCAGTTGAAACCACAAGTTAATTAAATTGGCTTGGAAAGGAAAGGGAACTGATGGGGAATACAATAAAGGATGGTATTTAACTTCATCTCTAATAAAAAGTTCTGCCCACTCGCACGCCTCGATGTGACGTTGCATGTTTCGTGAGCGCCAAATGATAGTTTCCGCTGCTGAACTTAGGGGGTCAAAGCCGATTGCATAAAGCAATTCTTTTGTGAGAACTTTCCTGTCAGTAGAAGGGACAGATTCCTTGTTGTTTCGTAAAAAGGTAACGATCCAGTCGCTGAGCGATCGATGTTGACCGTGTTCTGGCGGCATTTCCTTAACGCGGTCAAGGAAGTCGAGTTTGAGACCAAGCAAAGAGCACAGTCGAGCAGTAGGGCAATGAAACCGATCGAAATCTTCCATCACCAATTGAAAACTCGCTTTTTCTTTTTCATCCAAAACCTTACTTAAAGTATTCTCGAGACAATCGTTGTAAAAAAGGCGCATTTCTTCTAGCTTCTCTAAGTTGTAATAGTTCTTGTAAATAAATTCTTTGTATTTGGCGATGGCATCTTGGGCTTCGTAAATGGCGTGTTCGAGATCCTGAAGAGAGGCATATTTGTCTTTATCATCACATCTTACGACATCTATTCGACGAAGTAAAAGTTTGTAGACTAATGAACGATTCTCGATCTTCGCCATTTCCGCTTTACCTCGAAAGAACGGTATCAGCATGACAGGAGCTTCTATTTGGTCATTTTCATCTTCGGAGTCCCCGCCATAGTCCTGTTCAGAGTCTGTTGAGTCGTCGTCTTCACCCCTTCTAATTTTGTCTGCCTTTTGTTTAAGAAAACTCCTGATGTAACACTGGGTCCTCTCTCGCGCCTCAATGTGAGGTAGAAGCTTGCGGAATCTTTCATCCATCGCAGCTAAGACTTTGCAGTCGCTTTGAATGTACTCATTGTTCGAAAGACTATTTTCTGATAAAGCCTCGCCGTATCTACCGAACTCGAATGGTCGTTCTTTGGATGGTAACTGTGAAAACAGACCATCAGATGATGGAATGGAAGTTGAAGTAGTGCAAGAAGCCATGTTGGCCTTTGCCAAAAATAAAAAGAGAAGGAGAAAATAACGTAAAACCAGAAGAAAAGAGCGAGCAGTGTAAGTAATCTACATTTTCAGCGCCATTTGTAACTAATCGATACTTGGAAGTTGGGAGGTTTTTCATCGTCATGACAAACAATTAAGAACCAATAGGATTCATCGTTTTTGACACCAAGCCTTAAACAATAATGGTATGAATGTAAAGAGAATTTACATCTTCGTCAGCTGTTTTGCGAGTTTATGTTTTGTTTAAAGGGAGAGATTCTCATAACCGAAATAAACGGGTCAGCCAATAGAATAAGAGCTTTCCTTTCCAATTTTGTCGTAATATGATTTTTTGAGTGGCTGACCTAAAAATAGTAAGATTTCTAGGAATCAAGGATAAAGGAAGCGGAAACTTTGAGAAAGCGACCAAATAAGGCAAATGACTCAAGGGATTGCTAAGAAGGTGGTTTGCCGAAAGCACTGTTATATCATTCGATTATTCGTTTACTCATAGTGGACTTAAAAAAGACCATAATCCATCATATCTAAAATGACTTGATTTATAGCCATGTTTCCAACTTGAGCGGCAGCTAGTGTTGTATGTCTTGTAAACAAACCTCGCCGACCAATACAAGTTGCACATCAGGCCCCGGTTGTTCAAAAGGTGGATAACGTTATCCACTGGATAAATCTCTATCTAGTGTATAGAGCAATTGATTTCGCCAACACATCCTCTGGATACTGATTTGTCCGATGAATAGCACTATCCAACAATGGCCAGTACGAGTGGAGCCATGGTAATCTGATATAGTAAAGTCCACAAGTTTCACGAGTAGGTTTTTTCCTCCATTGTTAATAACGGAAAGAAACAGACAAGACTCTAACTAAGGACTATGTTCACACTAGGCCGGATAGTATTTGCACCGGCACAAAAACACATACTACCGGATAGAGATTCTGTTTACTCATAAGAAAGGTGATTTTGGCGCAATGTCTGTAACTGAATGATTAGCTGCGCCGCGCTGATCTCGAAAGTGGGGCGTCACATATCGGATAGGGTTTGTGTCACACTTTGGTACATTGAGAACAGATATTCGGACCGTAGCAGAAGTGAATAAGGAGGAGCGAGGATTGGGACAGACTGAGACGTAAGTAAAATTTCAGGAAAGAGGCCCGGGATTTAGTGCGCCAAACACTCCCGGCCAATCGCTCCGGCACGATGTTCGATGTGTCAAAGAAACGTTCCAGTTTCGACCCGTTGCTCTTCATTATAGTTTTAATTTCGTGTCGTCACCACAAAAACAGTCACATATCGGTACATAAGTTTCGGATAATTTTAGCTTTTGATCTTATGTCAAAAGAATTCCTTGTCAGCTTGACATTTAATCGCAAAATAGTTAAATTTAACGAAGCACTACATAAAAGTCTGGGACTAAGACTTCCTACATTTCACTTCCGGTTAAATGAAGTTCTGTTCGTTACTTTCGCATGCTTCCTTTGGACTAAACGCACCCAATGAAAACCTGATGAAAAGTCGGTTTTAACTTGCTGCGTATTCTGGAAGACATTGTCCCCTTCTTTCACGTGATAGGTGCTTGGTTATGTAACGCTATTTGGCGAGGGAAACTCGAAAGGGGTGCGTTGTTTGGAAATGAATCTATTGGAGACCACTCTTAAAGGATGCAATAAACAATGAATCTTCCTCGCACTGTGCCGCTGCGTTTACCGCTGTATTGTCAACTATGCTAAATTCAATAACAAAATACAAAATAGTAACCTTGCATGGAAAAGAAATCTTTATCTGTCATGTTAGGACCGTAAACTTCATATGATGCACCCAAACCTTTTATCGTATAATCATTGATCTTTCAGGGAAACTGGACCTTAACTTTACCCGATTCAGTTACTAGTTATTATTCTGCTTGACTTATGGCTAAAAGGCAAACACTCAGAAATTGCTTGGCGTAAACGAAGATTATAGAAACGGTTAGTAGGCCCACTATTATGAAAAAAATTAGAGTTTTCTGAGGATGAGGCAATGCAACCTCAAAAGTGCATAACAGCAGAAAAGTATAAAATCGTGAGGCCAAAAAGTGGTTTGGGTCGCTTATGAGAGGTGTTCGTTTAAGAGAGGCTGTAATCATAGGGATTTGGCTGGAATACCGGTACTTTAATAGTGTTTTGCATCGTTGGTCGCTTACAAGAGGTGGTCCATCCGCACATGGAGGTTCGTTTGCATTTGATTTTGGCACTTATTAAATCCAAACAAGGAGAAGCGTTTTGGAGTTAAGTCTTTCAAGGACTATGTGGCTGTTTACATGGAGGGAGGAACATCCTAGGACCAGGAAGATCCTAGAGGGCGGAACAACTTTACGTTGGGTTTACAGGCAGAAATGTCGGTCCGTCAGTGGTGCCCAAATAGAGAAGGTTCGGGAAGGAATTAAAAATGGCGGAAGACAACGATAAAAATGCAATTTTGGTCCTTATGCTTAGTTTACTGGCGTAAATAACTTCCTTTCAGCAGAAATATCCTCCATTGCCGTGATTAGCCACTGAACGATCCGCCGCTAATTTTGTCTGGTTTGTCCCTAGTACTAGAATCTTCCTAGCGAAGGCAGTTTACATGGTGCTGGGATCTTCCTACCACTATGTAAACAGCCCCTATATAGTTAAATACAAAAAAGTTGATTAATTGCGGAATACTATTCCCAAAGAATCTTCCAATAACGCTCGGGCAGAATCTCCTGAGATTAGTTCGAAATGAAGGTATGACTACTTGTTATCAGTGTTTTGTCATGCAATGCTTTTTTCTTTTTTGTTTTAAACACCATAAAATGAGTTTTGTTTAAGTTTAAAATAGTCGGCAGTAAGCCATGCATGTTGTAACATTTTTGAGTTCATGATCCATGGTGTTGTATAGGGTATGTAATATTTTCACCACTTAAAAATAAATTGGTGTCATCTGCAAAAAGAATGAAATTTAAGATTTTAGAGCTCTCACATATGTCATTCATGTAGATAAGAAAAAGCAGAGGTCCTAGCACCGATCCTTATGGTACCCCCCATTTAATTGTGAAACTTACTGAATTACCTTGCTCAATACTAATGAAACATCATCTCTTTAATAATTTACTGAGCGATTTTATAAGTTTTCCTATACTTTTTTTATTAAAAATTACGAGTTTTTTTGTTATACTGAAGTAACTTTAAGGAGCACAATATTAGTTTATCTAGACGTGCCCCTCTACCCTCCTTACTATACACAATGAGATTAAATGTAAGTGCTGTAATTTTGCATTGTACAACTACAATCCTTGAAAATTTTATTTTTTTCTCACTTTTTCCCCTTATATCAAATGATGGTCTTATCATCTGCTAAGGTTTGGAGAAACAAATAAAATGAAAAGGAACTAAAATGTCAAAAATGACAGGAATAATTGCAAAATCGAGGCATTTTATATCCCTTAAGAGTCTAATTAGTATAGGTAATAGCATGATTTGTAGTAATATTTGGCATAAATACGACAAGTGATATTTCGAAATTGTTATACGTAATTTCACGAGCCGTTAGGCGAGTTAAATTTGAGACAATTTTGAAATATCACGAGTGGTATCTATGCCAAATATCACGTACAAATCATGCTATTATTTGTTTATACTACTACCCGCAAAAGGTTTGTAATTTTCACGTGTAGGTATTTCAAATTAAGCTGAAATACCACTGCTCTAAGCCAATCAAATTGCAGTAATTTTTCATGTCGTAGTATAACAATATACAATACTACGATCTATTCATACAAATTATTTCACAGAGAATGCGGATTTACATAATTACAATACCTGATCAGCTTCTAACATAAACATAAATTATCAAAGATCAAATTATGGTAAATTCTCACTGAAATACAGAGGGGCAAAATTACCGGAACAATGTACCTGAAAACTTAAGAAATCAGAAATCTTATGGCCGATGTAAAAAGATGATTAAGGAATATATACTGAAATACACTATCACTTACAGTAAGAATTCCAAAAATTGATAAGCTTGCATCATTTCATTAAAATTCGATAGAGTTTATACTGTGTTATTGAGCGCCAAACAATGTTTTAGTAATTTAATTGATAAGTAAAGAGATCTCCTGCTAATGTATACCTACGAATACCAAATGTACAATATTAACTTTTACAAGGATGCATGGGGATATAAATAATTCTTTGCTTTTTCGCCCAAGTCTCATCATTAAGTTTATCACGACTATCACGGATTTCAAGAATAGAAAGCATGATCGCGATGATGTTCTTGGCGACGAAGATTGACTCGTCTTTTCCATATTTAAAAACTATCACCAAGCGAATAATCAAGAAGGGTCCGTTGACGAAAAATATTTCAACAAAGTTGCGTCTTATTGTTGAAATCGTTTCCTTTCTACCTTCCAGTCTAGTTTCTATCATCGGCCAGAGCGACAGTAGAAAACTGAAGCAGGCCACGGTAATCATTGCTATGCCAAATCCTTTAGAGATACGATAGTTGTGCTCTTGCTCGTCCAGAACTACGTCTATTATTTCGACTGCATCTAAGAGATCCACTGCTAATTGGACACACAGCTTGTAAACCACATCTTTGAATTTCCTTGCGTCGTTTGCAGTGTTCAGTAACAATATCAGCAGAATTGGTGTTGCGCAGAGTGTTGCTTTCAGAATAACTGGACCAAGTGTTCTCGTGTCATGATTTGCGGTTGCGTTGCAGAAACAGAGAGTTTCATTGGCGGAATTGGAACTTAGACCAGCCCTTGTGACTCCAAAAACAATGCTCACACTAGGAATCAAGCCGAAGAAAACATACAAGCCCTATACAAGAAATGACGAGCATAAATTTGCCTCGAATCTAGAAGGTTTGGGCGACACAAGGCAGACCCAAACAATCACAGCTGAGGAGTACAAAGGAACTGCTATTCCATACCAGCTCGAATCGTCTTTGTATTTTGCAGGATAAGAGGCAAGCAAAAAGCACTGACTTACTATCAAGCCGAAGAATACAAACCGCCCTAGTGACACCAACGGTTTGGCTTTGATGGTGGCCCACAAAGATCCTATAATTTCAGAAGCCATTCCAGAATACAACTTAATAAACGCCAGTACGGACAACAATGAAAAGAAATCAACGCCTGGAGTCATCTTTCCGAGAAACGATGCTATGTGACGTCACTAAATAAAGGATATGATTTTCTTAAACTACAGCTGGTTTGCTGATAATCATTGTCAATCTAGCTCTCGCAGCTAACCATACCACTATGATTCAATGAAAGTGTTGCAAAAAAGGGAAAATGTTAGATTTTAGAAAGCATCGCAGAAAAATATACATATGATGTAACATTCCAAGAATTGTAATTACATTGTCTAATTCTGATTACTCGCTTTTCTTTTCTCGGAAAGATGAGTAACACTCCTTTCTAAGAAAAGTCGTCACGATCGCAAATTGCACTGACAAAATTATGGCTTCGTTTCTTGTTTGCCTGGGACGATTCGCCTTTTTTATTGTAATGGGTATACAGTTTGCTTCGCTTGCTGCATATCCAGCGACATACGAAAGTAATGATGGCTATTACGCGTTACTACTTCTCTACCTTCTCCCTTTTGGACTGTGGCTTTTTATCATGTGCAAAGACGACAACCTTCAATGGCTATTTTTTGTTTGGTTGCTGTACACGATCACATTCGTGATCTTTATAGGAATTATTTTTGGCGGGAATGATCCACTTGAGAATAAACTCAACAAGGAGCATTTTTTTGGTCCGAATGTCTTAAAGATGACCCTATGCCTGTCTCCCGTTCTACTCTTGCTGCTTTTAAGCACTGGTACAGATTCGCCGTCTTACAGAGAGCTGACTTGGATGCTCTCCCTTCGAATCGCCCTGGATCTTTTCGATGCAGTGGAAATGTTGGAAGTTATTCTCGACGAAAACGAACTAAGCCATGACATCCCAAGAGCGTTTGAAAAAGTCATAATTGGATTTGTCTGTTTTAGTTTCTTGTTGTCGACGCTACAGATTTTGGAGATAAAGCTGGATTACGGTGACTGGAAACCTCGGAAGTGTACATCAGTATCGCGAAAAACTCTTCAGATTCTTTTTGTAAACGGTGTATTTTTAGTACTTCGCTTAATAATTTACAGAAAGTACGGCAAAGATGCATCAATTTTCATCGCTAAAAATTTCATCATAATTATTCTCAGCCTTTTTGAAATATGTTCCACATGTAAATGCTGTGGATGTGAGGACTACTATTGAACGATACCTTCCCTTCGGACACAATTTTCTTTAGGAAACCTTGCACTGTAGATTGCAATACTTCCCTCTTGATCCCTGACCGAAAATTATATTCAATTAAGGCATGCATAAGAAATGCTACTTCATTTTCCAGACCTTCATGCTTTCGATATTTAATTTAAGCTGCTGAAAGGAATCTCTTCCCCCTGGATTACTCCAGACCTAAAAAGGCTAATGTTTCAGAGAGACAAACTCAAAAAATTGGCCTCAAGGTTCCCAACAGATGGCAATTGGACTTCTTACAAACACATGAAGAATAAGGTTAATTATGAAATTAAGAATGCTAAAATGAACTATTACAATGCCTTCTTCAAAGATAACCACAGAAACATAAAGAATACTTGGAAAGGAATTAATAGACTAATTGGAAATGAACCTAAATTTAATAAGATAACTCAGCTGGACACTGGGGATACTGTAAATACTGACCCCATTGAAATCAGTAATATACTCAACACACATTTCTCCAAAATAGGACCTTCCTTAGCCTCTCAAATTAAAGATACATCCAGTAATTTTACTGATTATGTTACCCCCGCAGAACACATTTTTAATTTGGCAAAAGTATCATGCCAGGAGGTCTTCAATTTAATTCAGAAAATACC